TTGACTGAGACCGAATTGGAGAGCAAAAAGGTTGTAAAGCATCCGTACATGAGTTATGAAATGCAGGAGGCAAGACTGTGACAAGCCATCCAGGTGGAGTTGACAGACTCCTTCACTTGTATCGATGCACACGAGGCACCAGGCCTCCTCATGCCACAGCAAGCACACTGTGAGCAACCATGGTACATGCTGCTGAACGAAAAAATTCACTTCGGACACGCACTCAGATGAACCATGGGGTGGATGTGCTGCGCAAGCGAAGTCAAAATTTCGGAGCTTCCGCGGTGAGCCCACATACTTCGATCATTCGCCAGGCTACACATCGTGTCCCAGGAGCACGGCTGCGAAACTGCAGGATGACTATTGAGTATCAAATGTCTCGCCCAGGTTATAGGCGATGTGACAAGCCCACCTTTAGGGCGCTGCGCATCATGAAGTCTCCTGAGGGCCTGTTTGGCTGAGTGCTGTTCTGGCTTACGAAGTACATGACCAAGGTAATTCCAAGTGCGTAGCTGCCACTGAAAACTCCAGTTGCTAGGTATGACTTGGCCAAGCATGACCAAAATGGCCCGGCGTCGCACCCTGTGCAAGTAATACGCAATGTCTGCTGAAGCTGTGTGCGGAATGAAGAGGTGCAACATACGAACCAAAATGGTGACCTGTAGAGAAGTCAAAGTTTGCATAAGCAGCTGGGACGGAAACATCAAAGGCGCGTACCATGCAAAGGTGGAGAATACATATCGCTGACCAAGTCGTATGCCTAACATGGGTTCTCCCCATCGAAGTCCCTTCAAAGTTGCACGAAGACTGTGAAAGGCTTGATGTGCACGACGTTTTGCACCAGGAAACAATATCGTGGTCAAGGATTCGGAAGTTGGGAAGCGGGTCAAAGGCTTACGTAAGTACGTTGTCGCAGTCACCCACTTGATCTGATGCAAAAATTCGTCCGCTGCCCACTCGAGTTGCTTTCCAAGACCGAGCGTGCAGTGCATGCCCAACAGTTCTGTCTTCGAGGGGCTGAACCGGAGGCCTGCCTTTAAGAACTGTTGCTGGAGGCTTGACTCCACGAATGAAAGATGAAAATAAGATCGTCGACAAATAGCCAACCCCAAGATCCGATATCACTTGTTTCCCCTTGAGAACTCCATGTCTGAAAAACCTTCTGGAGCAAGTGACCCACTACGAACGAGAACAAAGTCGCTGAGTGGCAATGGCCTTGCTGGACCCCACAAGTTTGGTCGAAACTCCACGACAGGCCTTGGAACGTAAAGTGTAATACGGGCCCAAAGACCAAGAAAAGTAGCATGGAGGCCTCGCGACGACATCCCTTCGGGGTGTGCTTGTCAAGGAACTGAATGAGAAACTGATGCTGCAAGCTGTCGAAGGCGGCTTCAATGTCAGTGTTTAGCCAGATTCTGCCAGTCTTCTCTTTTATCGAATCGGCTGCAATGTTCCGGTGGGCTGAGGCTAAAGCATCAAGGGTCTGACCGCCCTTGACGGCACCATGCTGTGTAGTAGGAACCGTCCATCGAGCTTGAAGCCGTTGTACCAACAAGTAAGAAAACATCTTGTGACATTGTTCCACAAGGTTAATGGGACGAATCTGGCGCGGATCTCCGACATGTTGCACTTTGGGCAGAAGTGTCACAAAGGCGCTGTGCAAATCCTCCGGGTGCTTGGGCTCGAGGACCCGAGGGCTCTTGCCACATGGCCTTGAAAAGTTCTCCAGGAATGCCACTGCGTCCGGTTGTTTTGTTGTTCTTGAGGTGATCAACAGCTTTCGACACTTCTTCCCAAGTAAACGGCGTTACAGACTCCGTTTCAGCAGGCTGGAGAAAAGCTTGAAAAAGCGTCTGGGATTCCTCAGCACACATATCCGGAATAGCCGGGTGTAGGATTTGCTGAAAATGTGATTTTACTGTTTCTGCTGCTGCCACGGTGCCTCCTTGAGCAGCAATGAAAGGATCCCACGATGGTCTTTGACGCGCCAGTCGTTTCTTGAGATATGCAATGGCCCACGCATCCCCGCTGGAGGATCGGGCTTCCAAATCCTGAAGCCATGCGGCCTTCTCAGCAGAACGCCTGGCCAAGATGGCGCCTCATGCTTGCTTGAATTCTGTCGCGTTGGCGACGGGGAGAGGGCTGGCCTGGGTCCTACGTGTGGTTCCCCAGGCTCAGCCCGCCCCCCCAAACACTCCAGGAGGGGTCCTCGACGAGTACCGCTTCACCTGCTGCTGTGCAGCCAGCTGCTGCGCAGCCAGTTGCTGCGCAGCCAGCTGCTGCGCAGCGAGCTGCTGCGCCGCAGCAACGGCACGGCGGTGCCGTGCGGCGGCCAGGACAAAAATGCTTAGGCCTAGGCCATAAAGCATCAAAGTACACGTGCGGGAGTCGACCGGTCCCTAAACCCCAAAACCCTTAAACCCTAAGCCCTAAACCCGTAAAGCCCCAAGCTCCAAAGCTGAAAAAACCAGAGTAAACTCGGAAGCCCTTGATCCCCCGATTAGTTTGGGTCGCCGCTTAGGGTTTAAGTTTTTAGAGCTGAAAGCTTTGGCAGGTTAGCGCAGGCAGCATGCATATTGTATATACATACATATATATATATACACACACACACACACATATATATGCTTACCCCCCCAATTAGCCCGCACGAGCTCTGAAGATGCGTCATCGCTTTTTCAGTCTACGGCTGGAAAACTCTTGTTTGTGCGACATCAGCTAT